AGACACAGGGTGGGATTGTTGGGGTGTCTGGGCAGGGCAGGAGTTGGACTGGGTGATCCTTGTGGGTCCCTCCAGCTCAGGATATTCTGTGATTCAGTGATCTCTGCAAGCTGAGCTCTGTCAGGAGCACCACCCACTGCATCCAAACTCTCCAAAGTCCTTGGCTTGGTGGGTCTGGTTGTGCTTCTCTGCCTTCTCAAGCTCTAACAAGTTCATTCCTATTCTTTTCATCCAGTTCTGGTTTAAGAAAACCAGGAGCATTGAGAGGCAGAGGTGCCCAGCTGGCAGCCTTCCTGCAGGCAGTGCTGGAGTCTCCTCTCCAGGGTCTGGCTCAAACAGCAACAAATCCCTGCTGAGGCTCTGAGGATCCTCCTGAGCATTCTGACAGCAGCAAGCAGTGGAGCATCTTCCCAGGCTGTGGATTTGGGCTCACAGCACTGTGGGCTCTGCTGTCACAGCCCCACAGGTCACTGCTGTCCTCACCCTGATGGGACACAGCCTGTAAAACCCCAGCTTCATTCCCTCTTGGCAAAGTCCTGTCTCGTGGGGGCTGACCTCTGCCATTGGCTGTGCAGCTTCTGTAAATAATTCCTGTCCAGGCAGGAGGGGTTTATTTTATATTATATTTAATTGTGATTTAGAAATTGGTGTGAATAATTCCTGTCCAGGCAGGAGAGGTTTCTTTTATATTATATTTAATTGTGATTTAGAAATTGGTGTAAATAATTCCTGTCCAGGCAGGAGGGGTTTATTTTGTATTATATTTAATTGTGATTTAGCAACTGGCAGTGATGGCTGTGAGTTTTTGTTCAGTTTCAGGTCTCCCTAACAAAAACCTGAGTCTGCCCTGCCTTGACTGATATTCGCCTCCCTGTGTCTGCCGGGGTGACTTGGCTTCTTCATAGTGCAAAGAGAGCTTTGTTCTTACCTCAATTAAGACAATCAGCTTGTCTATATTTACCCCAACCCTTCTCCCCTCTTGTGAGGGCATTCCCATCACTTTTCCTCTGAGCCAAATCCTTCAGGAAGCCCTTGAGTGTTTGGGTAAATCAGGACACAGCCAAGACCTTGCTGTTTGATACAGAGGGTGATTCACTGTGACAGCCACCGTGTCCCAGTGCTGTGCTTGGGGACAGTGCAGATGTGCAGCCAGCTGTGGGGACTGGGCTGTGGCAGCTCCTGGGACTGACCCTGAGCTCTTGGGGCCTGTTTGAGTGCTGGGTTCTCACATTCTGCAGAGGGATATTCCTGTTTGGAATGCTGGAGATGCATTGGTGTCATCAGCTGCCTTCCTGCAGTGCTGTGTGGCTCTCCCAAGAGTTTGAGGTGCTGCTCTTCTCATTTTATTTTTGACAAACCACAGAAATGGGCCTTGTTGAGGCAATACCCCGTGTAAGTCTTGTGTTCTCCTGCCTTGCACGTAGCTTTTAACCTAAAAGTTCATGAGCTGAAGCTATTGCACAGATTAGTTACCTTCTGCTCCCAGGAACTTAAAAATGGAGGCCTTGAGACCTTTCACTGTCCCCTACAAGCACTCCAGGCTTCAAAAGCTGTTTCTTTTGTCCCAGTGTAGTTTCACCTTGTGTTTCCTGTGAGTATCCTGGCGTGATGAGGGAGGGAGCTGTTTGGCACTGCTGTTCTTTATTTGGGATATAAAGCTGAGAACTCCTCTGCATTAAGTAAAAGAGCCTCTCTGGAGCTGAGTGTGGTGCTAGGTGGTGCTCTGGACCCCTTTAGGTTGCTGTAAATTAATCAACTTAAAATGTGGACACAGCCACAGGCCACCAAACTGCTCTGCAGAGCCCATAGCTTCCCCCTGAGTAAGAGCCTGTCTCAGATCAGGGATCTGGCATTCCATGTTGGACAACCTCAGGTTATATACAAAAAGCTTGCTGTGGTCTGGTCCTCCCTCATCTTATTTTTGTGCTGGGAGGAGGACCATGTCTGCAGCCTTCCTAAAGGTTTTTCTCATCCTCATCCTGCAGTTCCTGCAGAGCTCCAGGTTCTTCGGTGGCTTCACTTGTAGAGATGAGGACTCGTGAGTTAGAAATGGTGAGAAAACCCACAATGAGCTTTGTGACTGTCTCCTCCTTTGGTTTTCCTGATGATAAATTAAGTGGGGATAATGTGTGTTCGTGTTGCAGGCAGTGTTGCAGAACAATAAGCAAAAGCCTCGGTCTCTTCCAGTCTGAGCAGTCACTGGGCAGTGATCAGGTCTGTTCTCAGTTCCTTGTCCTACATTTCCTGCTTTCTGTATCTGCATCAATCTGTGTGTGTGCACTTCAGGAGCCACGGAGCAGGAGTTGAGCTGGACCCCGGGAGGAGTAGAGGAGGTGCGTAAGAAAATAAGAAAAACCAGATCTTAGATCTTGGAGGGCAGAATGAAATGGTGAGAGAAAGGTTGAGGGTTATAAAATGCCCAGGTTTCCTGAGGTCTGAGCAATTATTTAGGTCTTAGCAGGCTCTCTGAAGAAGAGAAGCCTGTGGACTTACATGAAGCAAGGCTGACTCGTGGTATTTGGAGGGAAGTTGTAGGAACTACCTGTTGGAGACACTGGGGAGCACTTTCTTCTTTTTTCCAAGAAGAAAGAGCTAGCAGGAATCTTGATTCTCCAGCACACCAGACCAAGGAGCCACCAGCTGCTTAGCTACTTTGCTGCTTTGGAAATCCCTATATTTGAGATTATTTCCCTCAAATTTGAGCTTATCTGCTTGCAGAAGCAGAGGTAACACAGCCAGGTGAGCATCTGGGCAGTACCCCCAAAAGTATCAATAATGAGCAGTCACACTGTTGCTCATTTATTTTCATCCCCCTTCCTGTGTTGCTCCCTTTAGTTTTTCTACTTGTCTGCATTGACTTGCTGCTAAATTATTTTGATAGTAAAATAAGCCAGATTGCAGCCTGACTGAAATAATTAATTACTACTAGGCTACAACCTAGTGTGGGATCCTCCATAACCCCATTGGTGGGGAGAGATGTTTGAAGCACATGCTGAAAATAGGGTGTGAAAATAGAGTGGCTGAGGGTGTGGGGCATCCCCAGAGGGCTTGGCCAAGCCTAGGGATGCTTTGGAAATATTTTCTTTCACTTGAAGGCTGCTAATAAATTCAGCTGGAGGCTCTAAATCCATGTTTAACTCCTATGGATAAGCTGGCACAGGTACAAGAGCTGGGGCCTGGGAAATAAATTTTAAAAAATCTAACTTGGGTGGATTTTAGAGTTATAGGAGTGAAATGACTTTGCCCTTATTGGTCAGTGAGATTTGAGCTGAACAGAGAGAAATTGGAGTGAGAAAGGTGAATTCTAACAACCAAATGTATCTGTACCCCAGCCTGAAGGATCCCTCCTTGCACCAGCAGATACCAACAGGTTTCCAGGCTGGGTTTTGGTGCTAGATTGCACAGCAGGTTGTTTTCCACCCTGCTCACAGCCAGAAAGTTCAAATGTGCTGGTGTCCATCCAAAGAGGATCTGCCTGTTTATGCTGAGGTAGTTATGGCAAAAGTGGGAAGGGTTCCACCTTAAACCGTGGAATAACTCATGCCTGTTGTTGCCTGTGTGTTTATATGGGTTATTTTTTATTTTGTCTTGTTTTCGTGTGTTTTTGTTTGAAACAGCAGGGTAATACTGACTTGCTGCTTAGCGGTTTTGCTTCTGCCCCCAGGGCTCTGAATCTCAGGAGGAAACTGGTTAGAAATGTATCCCTTTGCTGCTGATGCTGTTAAACCAGTGTGTGAGGAGCATTAGGTAGGTTCCAGCTTTCTGGAGTTTTAAAAGTTCCTTTCTTTGGGGGGAAAAAAAAATCAAATATTTTTTGTAATGATGTGTCCATTACAGTCCTCCCTCCTGCAGAAAGCAAGGGAGCAGGACTAGTCCTTCCCAAATTAATGCCTCTCTTGATTTCTGGAGACAGCTTTGCCATTCAAGTTAGAACCTCAGCAATCTGATAAATTGAATTTAAAAAAATAAATTAATGTTTTCTAGCAGTTTACCAATCTGAAAAACACCCAAGACCCAGAAAACCTGGGGCATATAATTGTCTTTCAAAATCAGGGCAGTGGTAGAATTAAAACCACACTGAGGGTTGTGTAGAAAGCTTTAGTTCTTTTACCCCCAAGTTGTTGTCTTTTGCTCCAGATTAGGGGGAAAACATGGATGGAACCATAGGCTTATCCAGCAGCAGAGAAGTGGCTTAGCCCTTGATGTGGGGTGTCAAAGGGATCACCAGAACTGGGTGAGGCTTTGGCATCTGTGGGAGGTTCTGCCCCAGCTCTTACCAAGCCACCTCAGTGCTGTTACTTACTTGATGCTTGATATCAAATCTGAGAACTGGGAGCATTATTGATTTGACCTCTTTTAAATTTCAGCAGCTTCACAAGAGACAGAGTGAGTTAGTAAGGAATGCAAAAATATGTAAGTAATAAATATTTTCCTAGCTGAATAGCTTAGGCATATCCATTTTGTACCTTGTGTCTTCTTACCAGAGTAAGGAAGGTTGGACTGTCTTTGCTTTTGGGGGAAATCTTTCTGTTTTCCTTTCTCTCTCCTCCCTGCTTTCCCCTCTCCAAGCTGTGGGCACAACACCAGCTCTGCTTTCTCCTCCTTGTAGTAGGTGTGCATTTTCCTGGCTGATTGGTGTCTCTGGCTGGGGGGCTCTTGGTATTTTTATTTTATTTTTTTCCCTGCATCCATAGGAGATCTGGGGATTTTTTTTTTTTTTTAAGCAAGAAAGAGAATAAATTACTCAAATTAAATCAGAGGAATTTGTAGCTGCTACACAACTTGTCCTGTGTCGTGGATGTTAACGCTAAGCGGGAATGTTGGATATGACGCTTCCTGGTGGGTGTAGATTAATTTGGGAGCGTTGCTCATCAACGTGGGGCAAATATGACCAACAGAAATAACCCCCAAAGCCCCAAACTCTGCCTGTGTGAGTGTGTGTGAGTGCCTGTATGCTGGTCCAGCCCCACAGCCCTGACTGAGCTGCCTCTCTCTCTCAGACCCTCCGCAGGTGCTACAGCCGCGTCAAGGAGCACGGCGTGGGCAAGAGGAAAAGCAGTTACACCTTTGAGCAGCTGGAGCAGGTGTTTGGGCAGGGAGGATGGGACTCCCAGCCCTGCCAGCCTGTCCTCATCAACAGCAGTGGTCTGTACCAGGAGCTGGAGTCAGATGGCAGCACCATGGAGGAATACTCTCAGGAGGACTGGGGAAACCACAGCCAGGATCTTCACTGCTACCAGACCGGCGAGCAGGAGCTGGGTAAGAAATCCCATCTTGGCACATCTCCCTCCCTGGGGTTCACCTGTGCTCCTGGGGGTCTGGCACACACATCTCTGGGCCAGCTCTCACCTCTCAGAATGTGCTCAGGGGTCCGTGTTGAGACCGTGTTCTCAGGGATCTGAGGATGAGGGAAGAGATGAGGATCTGACTCCATGTTTCAGAAGGCTGATTTATTATTTTGTGATATGTATTATATTAAAACTATACCAAAAGAATAGAAGAAAGGATTTCATCAGAAGGCTGGCTAAGAATAGAAAAAAAAAATTATAACAAAGGCTTGTGACTGACCAAGACAGTCCAGACAGCTGGGCTGTGATTTGCCATTAATTAGAAACAACAAACATGGACCAATCCCAGATGCACCTGTTGCATTCCACAGCAGCAGACAATCATTGCTTACATTTTGTTTCTGAGGCCTCTCAGCTTCTCAGGAGAAAAAATCCTAAGGAAAGGATTTTTCATAAAAGATGTCTGTGACACACGGTGCTAAACACATCCTTGGGAAGAAAAGGGACAGAAATTCCTCACTTAATCAAAAGCAAACCATGGATCAGGACTGGAGGAAAGAAGGGCTGTTTGCCCAGAAACAGCAGAGGTGACACTTTCCCTGTCTGTCCTTTCACTTCCAGTTTTATTTTCCCTCTTGAGATTCAGGAGATATTTTCCCTTTCAGTGGTACCTGGGTGTTACCATTCAAACACCATTTACTTAAATTGTGAACAGGGCTTCAGCCTGCTGCTGGTAACACCAACAACTGTAAAAAATGTTTCTCTTTCTTTTTATTTACCTTGATGTACTGATATTAAACATGTCAATATATCTATATCCAGAGGTGTGGGCTTTTTTAAAATGAAAAAATAGCAAGCAAGCTCACACTTGATGTTTGAGACCTAAACCAAACTCTTCCACGTGCTTTTCTTCCTGAATTATTGCTATCTCTGCCTAAAAGTCAATTTTTAAATTAATTTGGAGGCTTAATTGTTGCTCATGGCTTTTTGAACTTTGTTAAACAGATCAGGGTACCACATCCCTGATAGAAAGCACGCTCCAACCTGAGCAGTTCTGGGAAGAAGTGGCTTTCTTGAGGCACATTTGTCTCAGGTTACTCCTCTTATGGGTGTGTGTTCCTCCCTTGCCTGAGCAGGGTTTTTTCACAGCAGGAGCTTTAAGTTGATCAGATCCACTGGAGATGCAGGTGAAGAAGGTGAATTGTGTAAAGGCTGTTTTTCCCCATTTATGGGATGAAAGAGGGAGAGGAGATGCAGTTGGGTGTCTGTACACATCTGTGTTTGGGGGACTGGTGAGTCAGGATGCTTTGGAAGAGCCTGAGATCGCAGTTTAATGTTAAAATTTGCAAGTTGGCTGTTAACCACATTCCAGTTCCTCAGACTCCTTCCCTGGGGGATTTAAAAGTCAGAAATATGTGGGAGAGAAACAGTGGGGAGAAGAAGAACGTTACAAAACGTATGGAAATGATGGCTAATTCTGTCTGGTGTGGCTTGTTGTGGTGAGTCAAGCTGGGATCTCCTGGTTTGTCACCAGTTTGGGGACATTTGCGTGAGCTGGGGCTGATGATGCCCTTCATGCTCAGGAGCTGTGAGCAAAGCACTTGGCACACAAGCTCTGAATTGAACACAGATGCAGTTCTGCTGCTGCTTCCTCTTGAAGTGTGCCATTAGAAGCAGAATTGCTTTTTCTTGGTTTTTTCCCTTGAAACAATGTAGTTTGCAATTCTGTCAATGTGTGATTTAATGGATGGGACTGGAGCCTTGTCCATGAAAAGATCTGAATCTCTCTCAAAACCTAAATGACCATATCTTTTCCAAGTTGAAGAAAAACTCAATCAATTACAGAGGGTGTAGGAGCTGGAGCTGTCTCATGCAGAACTCCAGCAGACTGCCTGGCTTAGGAGGCAACTCAGAGTTATTTTTTATTTAATTTCAAGCTCTTAAAAAAAAAAAAAAAGCCCTAAGAACATTATTTAAAATCTAATTATGTGTTGGAATTTTACCTTTCAGATGAAATGCCTACCACGAAAAGAACATTAAAGATAAAACAGGAATCTTCAGAAGACACGCAGTAAGTAATTTATGAATGTTTTACCCTGGAATGTATTTCCCTGGGGATAATGTGCAGGAGGAGAGGATATTTGAAACTTCTGTTTATAATTATAAATACATTGTGCAAGACTATTCATACAGTTGAATCTGCTTTATGCATTATTCCCATTACCTCGGAACAGCTGAAAAGCCTCACAACTCTGTTTCTCCTTGGCTTTGCCATTCAGAAAATAAAACAAGACTTACTACATGGATGTGAGGACTGAAACCATGGATAGAATCCACAAGAGCAGCTCCTTTCCTTGCTGGGAAAGTGTGCCAAAGCTTGGGAGTCTCTGACTTTGATTTTTATAACTTTCCAGACCTTCCTGGTAACCTTTTGGCTGGGTTTAATCTAGCAAACACTGGAGCCTTTTGAATGCTTCGACTCTGCCTTGCCTCTCCAACAATAACACAGAGCATTTCCAAAAATGAAAGGAATTGTGCTGTATTTACTGTGTCCAGGGCAGCTTTCTGCCAGCCTTTAGGGCTGGTTGTGGGTCTGTCTGCAGTGGGAGTGAGCCCAGGCTCACAGATCCTTTGGGGTTCCTCACAGGAGCTCCCACACCAGTGGGTTTTAGTGTTTCTGGGATTTTCCATGGTAGAAAATCAGCTGCTGTAGGGTAGGAGGTCACCAGCGCTGGGAACAGCAACAGAATATCCCTGGTGAGTCATATAGAGCAGAGGCTTTGTGCTGTAACTCAATGAAAACAAAATTCTCTAAAATATTTAACATAAATATAAATAAGTAAAAAGAGAAATACATTTAAAATAACTTAAGAAAATAAAAATAATTTTAAAAGAAAAATAATTCACAAGAAGCTTCCATGGCAGTGGTGTAGCTTTGGTTTGGCACTTCAGGTGCATATTCACATAGCCAAAGGTGACTTTTTTCTTCACTTGGAGCAAATTCATTTTAACAACTTAGGGACAACCTGGAGAAAAACAGCTTTTTTCAGTATAAACTTTTTAGTGCCACTTGGAACAGTTTCTTTGTGCTATTCTGGAATAATTTTACCTTTAAGGAGCTCCATAGCAAATAATCCTGAATTTTCTGAGGTGAAGGCTTGGACCACATGAATCTTCTCTTCCAAGTTTTAATGTGTGCATGAACAGCTGAATTAGATTTTGGTAAATGAGACCTTTAAAAGTTTTATCTTCATTTTTCTCCACAAATTCCCTCTAAAATGCAGTGGAGTCTCTGAACTCTGGGGCATTTTGTGAAGCCGGTGATAAACTTATCCTACGTGCAGAGTGGAAGCACAGAGCTTTTTCCAATTTGCTAAAAGCTGCTTTTCCCCTTGTCTGTGAGGAGAAGGAACTTGTAAACTCTGACTCAGTGGGTTAAAAGCAGTCAGAAGATGCACAGCTGATACAAAGATAAGCTGGATATTTATTTATAATCATAAAAAATAAAATTTCATCTAAAAGCCACAGCAGATAAATAGTTGTCAAACTCTTTCAGCTCTTTGTACAGCATTTTAAAATGCAGATAGCCTACTTCAAAGTTGTTTTCTTGGTCAAGGGCAGATTTTCAGCAGAAATTGTTTCCAGGAACCATTCAAATCCTGGAGAAACTTGTGGTGTGCTTTTGGACAGAGAGAAACAGAATTCTAGAGTGGTTTGAGTTGGAAGGGACCTTAAAGCTCATCTCATTCCAACCCTCTGCCATGGCAGGGACACCTCCCACTGTCCCAGGCTGCTCCTAGCCCTGCCCAGCCCAGCCTTGGGCACTGCCAGGGATCCAGGGGCAGCCACAGCTGCTCTGGGCACCCTGTGCCAGGGCCTGCCCACCCTCACAGGGAACAATTCCCAATATCCCATCCATCCCTGCCCTCAGGCAGTGGGAGCCATTCCCTGTGTCCTGTCCCTCCATCCCTTGTCCCCAGTCCCTCTCCAGCTCTCCTGGAGCCCCTTCAGGCCCTGCCAGGGGCTCTGAGCTCTCCCTGGAGCTTCTCCAGATAAACACCCCCATCTCTCCCAGGCTGGCTCCAGAGCAGAGGGGCTCCAGCCCTTGCAGCATCTCCGTGGCCTCCTCTGGGCTCCTCCAGCAGCTCCAGCTCCTCCCTGTGCTGGGAGCCCCGAGCTGGGGGCAGCTCTGCAGGTGGGGTCTCACCTGGGGGGCAGAGGGGCAGAATCCCCCCCTGCCCTGCTGCCCAGGCTGGGGATCAGCCCAGCACAGGGGGGTTCTGGGCCAGGGCCTGTCCAGCTCTCCCCCACCTGCACCCCAGGGGCTTCTCCCAGAGCTGCTCTCCATCCCTCCATCCCCAGCCTGGATGATCCTGGGGGTTGCCCTGGCCCAGGTGCAGCACCTGCCCTTGGCCTTGTTGACCCTCATGAGATTCCCCAAGGCCCTGACTGAGCTTGTCCCGATCCCTCTGGATCCCAGGCTGTCCCTCAGCCATGGAGCAGGAGCTCAGGGAAGGCGAGCACGTTGCTGCAGGTGCCAGTGCAGGTCTGTGTGAGAGCCAAGAGCTGTTTAAACCCCAGCACTGGTGTCTCCTCCTCTCCTCAGATCCCCAAGGACCCGACGCAGCGATGGCTCCGGGAACTCCCTGCCCTGGGCAGTGCCGGGTTCATGTTGGTGCAGTTTGGTTGTGCTCATAACAGGAACTTTTTGCCATCACTCAAGTGCTGTGGGAATGGATGTGAGCAAAGGAGAAAGGGCTAGGGAATGTCTGGACCAGGTTCCTCAAGTACCAATTAATAAATATAACCAATGGTTATTTTTATGGGTGAAGGAGGGCTGGATGAAGATAAGGTGCAACACAGCCCCAAAATACTGAAAGGGTTGGGGAAAAGTGAGTTATAAATCTGGGAGGAAAACAGGCCAATTGCAGCTTTAGGGATTTAGTGGGCATTCTATGGATAGCTGTTAGTTACAGCACGTGTACCACCTGCCTGGCTGTCAGAGGGCACATATCCCTTCTCCTCTGAACTTCCCAGCAATGTGGGACAGCCCAGCTGCCCCCACTCAGGCACTGTGCCTCCGAGTGACACAGAGAGAGCCACGGGCTCCTCTAGGGGGACAGGGAAAGGTGCTGCAAAGGCCAGAGCCCCTGTGCTCTGGAGCCAGGCTGGGAGAGCCGGGAGTGTTTATCTGGAAAAGGCTCCAGGGAGAGCTCAGAGCCCTTGCAGGGCCTGAAGGGGCTCCAGGAGAGCTGGAGAGGGACTGGGGACAAGGGATGGAGGGACAGGACACAGGGAATGGCTCCCACTGCCAGAGGGTTAGATGGGATATTGGGAAAGAATTGGGAAAAATGGCCTCACACCTGTGAGGGTGGGCAGGCCCTGGCACAGGTGCCCAGAGCAGCTGTGGCTGCCCCTGGATCCCTGGCAGTGCCCAAGGCCAGGCTGGGCAGGGCTTGGATCAACCTGGACTGGTGGAATCTCTCCCTGTCCATGGCAGGGATGGGAACAATATGAATTTTTTAGGTCCCTTGCAGGCCAAAGTGTTCTGAGTCTGTGACACACAGGGACTTCCCACCTGTCACTTTATTTTTGACAGTATGGGAGCAAAGGGCAGTAGGTAATCTGTGTCCATGGCCCATCCTCCAGCAGGATGCTCCTTTCCCATGTCAGCTCTGCTGTTGCCTGCCCTTGGCTGTTGTCTCCAAACAAACTGCTTTGAAAAGTGAAATAGCACTTAGAGACTTTGAGAAGTGGTTTGATTCACTGCTGGCTTTGGGAAGATGAACTAGAGAAAGCTCGTGGATCTTCTCTGCAAGCAGCTGCTCTGGGCCCTTTGAAGTCTGCCTCAGAACAAATTTGCGCCTACTCTTGTCTCAAGTCTTTCCTCATTTGAATTGCAAAAGCTTCCAAGGAGGAAGAAAGGCAGGTCCCAGACTCCAACAGGGAGGTGATGGTTTGATGATGAGGGAAAATCCAGCTCTAGGGCACCTTCTGCAGCTGAAAAGTGAGATTGTCCTGAGACACACAACAGCTTAAACCCTCTGCTCTGCTCCCATTGTCCTCCTAAAAAATTAATCATATTAACAATACAAATAAACCAAGTGCATAAGTACATGTTTAATAAATAATTTTGAATTGTTGAATGAAAATTACATTAGTAAGTAATTAAATAATAGTAATTTTTACTGCTGATGGTACCTTTGCTTGGCAAAGTTGTCAAGATCCTGGGAATGCAAAGCTCAGCCAAGTTGGGTCCTGGCAAAAGCGAGAAGATGCTAAACCTGAGAAGCAAAACTACTTAAAATTCATTTTCCCCTGTTCTCCTCTGCTGGAAGCAGTGAGTTCCTTGTGGAAAGCCCTTCTCAGTCTGCTGCTGAAGCTCAGCTCCCATGCAGTGATTCCCATCCCTGCAGGGGCAGTTGCAGTGACTAATGCAGCCGAGCTGGGTCTGGGTTGTGCCGAGCTAAACCGAGCAGAGTATTTATAGTGCACTTAATAAAGGTGGGGGCTTTGCTTTCATTCCTCACTCTGCTCCTCAGCTGTTGAATGAAAACCTGCCCACGCCGTGCTCTCCTGTCTTTGCCTTGGGAAGGGAATAGCTGGAGCTCAGCTGCTGTCAGGAGGGGATTGTGTGTGCCGGTGCTGAGACACTGAGCTGTGCTCCAGCACTGCCCTGTCCCCTTGGCTGTCCTACCCCCTTGTGCCCAGAAGGTAAACTTGCACTTCCAGAAGCCTCAAAAAGATATTTTCCGAGCGTGACAAAGCTTCAGGGAAGCTTTAAATGACTTTTGCCAAAGTGTTTGAGTAAATGGAAATGAATTTGGGGTGAACACGTATTCTTCTTGTCTGAGATTTCTCTCCTTTGCTGCCAGGTAGTGGAACTGACTCCTCAGAATAACTTGTAGTAAGAAACAGAACTTCAGTGCTGATGGAATCAATGTTTTTAAGAAGCCCTGGGCTCTGCTTGTCCAGCCTGTCCCTCCTCAGTGCTCCAGAAACCCAGTTACACTCCAGTTGTGGTGGAAATGTACTTCCCAAAATGCCTTTGAAGGTTTTTTCAGGGAACTTCTGACATGGTTGGTGCTACAGGGCAGGTGAGGTTGATGAAGTGGTGATGGATGTGGCGCTGGTGTCACTGTGAGGAGGGAGCTGTCCCAACCTGGATGCTCAGAAACGCTCAGGGGGGCTTGGACAGCACAGGTGAGGTTTGCAGGTGGTGTGCACCGAGCATCAGATGTCAAACCAGAGCTCTGTGTCCTAAACCCAGAGGCCTCCATCACCTGCAGGACACCCAGCAGGTGGAGAACCTTGCCAGAATCACGTGCCTTGTAGTTAGACCTGTAAAAGGTTTTTTGGGATGAAAGGCCTAAAAGTGGGGCCTCTCCAGCACCACAGGAAGGTTCTGCAGCTCCCAGTCCAGTTTTCTTTGAACCCTTACATTCATTATGATGGAAAAAGACCTCATCCCCACAGATTATATTTTTATTTTTTATTGGGCAGGAATGCACCTGCCAGGGTCAGCCTTGCTTGTGGGGTGTTGTGTCTGCTCTTAGAGGCTTCATGTCCCTCACCAGCCTGGTGCTCCACTGGGAAGCTGTTGGGAAAGGCTGGTTTTAGGGTGTTCAGGTGATCTTGAGGAACCTGCAGGAGCGGGGATATTTGTGTGTGCCCTGCCCAAGACCTGTGTCACCTGGTACAGTATGTCCTCCTGGTGGGATGTGGAAGGAAAAAAATCCTTCTGGGAGTGCAGAGATCTCCACAGTTCAGCTTTCCAGATGTGGCACAACGGATAAAGGAAGGAGAGCTGCATGGAAAGATCTTTTACGTCCCATTTGTTGGACCAAGAGAGGTTTCTCTGTTAGCAAACGAGTTGCATTATCTTCTACAGCTTTCATTATAGGACAATAACTTCCCAAATTAGGAGTTCTTCCTACCAGCTAATTACACCCTAATGGTCTCATTTATCCTGGAGGAAGCTGTTCCAGCTCGCTGCAGGTGCACACAGATGCTCTCTCCTGATGTAAACCCCTCTCTGAAACCTTGCTGCTGGGAGTGAAAACACATTTTTGGGAGCGTGGGGATTTCTTAATTGGCTGTCTGGAGGGATTGCCACTGTCCATCCCACAGCATCTGGGATGTGTCTGGGAGCCTCTTCTGCTTCAGGGGCTTGGTCCCTTGAGCTGTGCTTCCACCCCAGCACAGGGACAGAGCCCTTGGGAGTGGCTTCATGCTCCTGTTAGTGTTCAAAAACACATAATCACGGGCGGTTGTATGTGGTGCTTTTTATTAAGAGCTCTGGGTGCCAGGGGTATATTCAACCCAAATCTGACCCCGACCATACATCCGAAATGATCATGTTTTATACTCTATTGTTACATAACTTTCATGTTAACTATTAAACTTATATTGTTCTGTTGTATACATAAATTTAGCCCCTCTCTGAATTTCCAGCATAGTTTCTCATTATTCTTCTTATGGTTATATAATAATTACATTTCATTACTAAACAATCATCACATTTAACAATTATATGACTTATCATACTGCTTACACAGGTGCAGTTGATCTGGGAAAGCACAAAGCCTAACATTTTAGATTCTATCTTTAACTTTTTCCAGGGCTCCACTATCACTCCCATTGGGGTTTTTACAATTACAGTCCCATTTACTGGCATTAATTTGGGGATAACAACGAGGCAGAAGTGTTTTGAGTGTCAGTGGTGAGTTTGGGATGCAGCTCATGAACCATGTGCCGATAGAAGCCCAGGATTGTCAGGAATGACCCAGTAGTAAAGTGTGTGTTTATTCAGCCGTGCCAGATACATGCTTCCTTGGAGATGCTTTGATATCAGGAGGAGTTGGGGTTGGGTTTGTTTTTGTTTGGTCAAGACTAATTTAAAATTCCTTCATCGGGACATTGTTTACAACCTATAAACTGCCCCAGAAATGTAGTAGTAAGAAAAGTCAAGCAAGAAAGCTGATGGGGATTAACATTTTCCTTCTCTCCATTTCTTCATTTGCAGGAAGCGTGACGTCATGCAGAACATTATGCAAATCTTGGAGTCGGTCCAGTTGAAGTGGGAGCTGTTTCAGAGCTGGACGGACTTCTCCAGGCTCCACCTTTCCAACAAACTGGCCATTTTTGGCATTGGCTACAACACCCGCTGGAAGGAGGATATCCGTTACCACTACGCCGAGATCAGCTCCCAGGTGCCCCTGGGCAAGCGGCTCCGGGAATATTTCAACTCGGAGAAACCCGAGGGTCGGGTGATCATGACCCGAGTACAGAAAATGAACTGGAAAAATGTTTATTACAAATTCCTGGAGATCACCATCAGCGAAGCCCGATGCTTGGAGCTGCACATGGAGATCGACTGGATTCCCATCGCTCACTCCAAGCCCACTGGAGGGAACGTGGTGCAGTATTTATTACCAGGAGGGATCCCAAAAAGCCCCGGCCTGTACGCCATTGGATACGAGGAGTGCCACGAGAAGCTCCCCTCCCCTCTGGCCGAGCACCGGGCGCCCGACTCCGGCAATGAGACTCCAGGGGAGCTGGAGGTGCCCTCCCCACAGGCCTCCCTCCGGGTGGATATGGAATCCGCCCGGATTATCTACTGTTACCTCGGCATCGCCGAGGTCCGGACTCTCCAGCAGTGCCTGTTTTTACACTTCCAGGCAAACACCAAAACCTTCAGCAAAGATTGGGTCGGGATCAACGCCTTTTTATCTCAGAACTGCGTCGTAGAGCCCGGCGTCTCACCCAAATCCATCTACATCAAATTTGTGGAAGTGGAGAGGGATTTTCTGTCTGCTGGCTCTTTGGTAGAGTGCCTGGAAAAAGCCATCGGGTACCCCTTAAAATTTAACAACTGAGTCTCGTCCTTCATAAGGATCAGGGCTTAGCGCCCCGTTTTCCATCTCACTGGGATCCCGCCGGGGCACGGGGACTTTTGGGCCTGGCGGCGCCGCGGGGCCGCGGGCGCTCCCCTCTGCGGGGCCGCGAGCAGCGCCCGGCCCGGGGGCGGCCTCGGTACATTCCACACCACGGGACAGTGCACACGGCGTTTTCACACCGCCCCCGAGGGCTCGGGCTTTCCTCTATCCCACGGTGTCTCATTTGGATGCATCCGTCTCTAAGTGTTCCTCTGGATCTGACTCAATAAGCAATAGCTAACGGCGAGGGAAAACCCAACTCCCGGCCCGGGACTGTTTTTCAAAGCCACCCTTAGATACCTTGTATATAATTTAGGACTTCACTTTTTTCACCATCGAGTGTTCTCTCTCCAAACAGTGTTGCCTGCAAAGACTTTGGGTTCCGTGACGTATTCCACATCCTCAGTAGCGTTGCCATATCTGCTTTTATTTTATTTTATTTTATTTTTATAACATTAAAATAATTCCTGGCTTTTTTATTTTTTCCTCACTATTTTTTCCCTATTTTTCTCTTTACTGTCTTTTTTTAATCTTTTTTTTCTCTTATTTCTCTCCTTTTTCTCTTCTTTTTCTTTTTCTCTCTATTCCTCTTTTTTTATCTTTTTGTCTTGTCTTTTTTGTTTGTTTTTTAAATTTCTGTATCATTTTCCGTTGTTTTTTTTTTCTTTTGCTTCTTTTATTTTTATTATTTCTATTTTCACTTTTTACCCTTTTTTTGTCTTCTTCTCCTTTCAGTTTCCTTTTTTCCTTTTCTTTTTTTGTTCCTTTCAATCGAGTTCCAAAACTCTCTGTGAGAACAACTTGGCAGCTGGGAAAAAACAATGATTATTTTTATTTGTTTTGTTGTCGACCCATTGCTTATGGATACAATCAAAGCTGTGAGAAGGGGAAGGTGGGGAGGGGGAGGGAGAGGGAGGGGGGTGGGGGAGGACGCATTTATGCCTTTTCAGCGTGTTCCTGCTCCAGCCCCGCGCCGCCGCCGGGGCCGGTGGGTTTTATTTCCTGGAGCTCATCCATCGGTGACGTTGTGACATACGATGAATGTGTCGGTCCTAATAAAATCAAACAAACACGTACAGAGCTTTCCACACATCCTTCTCCTCCTCTGGGGCAGCTTGGGGAGGTGCCGAGCTCTTCTCTGTGGATTTTCCCATCAGGGCTTTGCTCCTGGGGTCATTGTTGGAGGAGTTGAGGAGTTGCATTTTTTTTTATGAGGGGTGAGCACCGCCAGAGCTGTTGCTTTTCCTGCAGAGGCTCCCAGAATCCCTGAAAGAAGTAAGGGTCAGTGCCCATCTGCAAGTTGGCATCACCTTTGAGCCCTGAGGTGTGGAGTGAGGAAGGGGAGCAGGTCACCAGTGGGTCACCAATGCTTTCTCCCCACTCTCAGCCTTCAACTAGAGGGAGAACGAGGTGAGTTGCCCCAAAGCTGCTGGGTTGGGAGCATGGGGTGCATCAGAGGGTGAGGATGCTGTCAGGGAGAGGTGGGGTCCCGGTGGGATCAAGCCAGGTCGATCCCCAAAGCCTCCTTGCTGCCGGGATCCTGCAGTGCTGGAGGCCAGGCTGGATTTACGAGGAGGGATTAATTCTGCCCCCGCCGCCTCCTCCTCCTCCGCCAGTGTCTAATCTCTGCTGGGGCTTCGAGGTCTGACCCTGCTCTGATCGAGGACCGGGATAACCCTGGCTGAGCCGGGCAGGAGGCTCCCGAGAACCAGGTACTCAAAATTGCCCTTTTTTTGGATATTGTTTATTTTTCAGGATCGATGCGTTTATCTGAAGGCCGGGGGGTGTTGGATGAGTGTGAGGGATGCAGAACGGGATGTTCCACCCTACTGGCGTGGGAGGGATGAGAATGGGGCGGGTTTGGGGTCCCCGTGCTCCCCATGGCGGGGGTGACATTTGACATTGCGGTGCCGCACCGCACCCCCCTTAACCCTGCTATAACTACTAATAACGCACACAACTAATGAATAACCGCGCGCTGTGGGGCGGGGGAGGGCCGGACCCCCGGGGGAGGGTCCGTGCGGGGCCGGGACACCCCCACGGGGTGTGGTGGGCTCGGGCCCGCCCCCACCTGCGCGGTCCCGCCCCCGGCGCCCCCCCGGCACCTGCTGCGGCTCCGGCCATGGGCGCGCTGCGGCGGGCGGCGCTGGCGCTGGCGGCGCTGCTGGGTGAGCGAGCCCCGGGGGCACCGGGGGGCCGGGGGATGCCGGGCAGGACGCGGCGGAGCTGTGGGGATGCAGCGGGCGAGGTCGGGCGGTGCTGGCGGGGGATCGGGGTAGCGCGGCGGGCACGGGGCAGGACGCGCTGGGAGCGGCGGGACGCGGGAAAAGCGGGATGGAGCGGGCAGGACGAGCGGGAGATTTTGGGAAAGCATCGGGCAGGACCCGGAGATACCGAGGGGGCACCGGGCAGGGTGTGGGAGCAGCCGGAGGCGCCCGGGATCCCGACACCGCCGGGAAGATTTAGGGTGGCACCGGGAAGGACCACCCTAAATCCATGGACCGTGGGGTACCAGGGGCGGGGGTCACAGCACCCACCTGTCTCTGTGCCCCCGGTCCCCTACCCCAGCAGGCAGGGGGGGGGGGAAAGAGGGGAGAGATCCATCCCCCTCCCTTTTTAAGAGTGCCCACAGTGGAGAAAATCTGAGTCTTTCTGGGAAAAGCCATTTGTACCTTGGAGCTGCCCAACAGCCGCTTCCAGCACCCCCAAACCCGATGTACCCCCAAATGGGGACACGCCAGGGACTCCAAAGTGAGTGCACAGTTCACTTCCCTGCGTGGCACTGGGCAGGAAAAATCCACTTGTTTTCCCTTGTTTACTGGTGCTGCACAGCCATCCCAGCTGGTTTGGAGGTGAGGGATCTCAACGCTTCTCTGTCCATGGGTTTTTCCCTTCTTCCACCCCTAATTTCCCACCCTATTTGAGTCTTTTTGGAACTTGCCACGGTTGCTCCAAAAGAAAACATCCTTTGGCGTTCCCAGCGAAGGAGAGGCCTTTGGAGAAAGGAAACGGCCCCAAAAACAATGGCAGCAGCATTTCCTTCCACGGAACACTGGGTGGGGGTCCTGGAGCCGCCACTTGTTCCTCCTTGAAGGTTTTCTTCCTTGATAAAAGTTAACTAAAGCATGCTTGTATGAGGCATGGGGGTCTCTCAGCCCTTAAATCCCACCAGGGCGTTCCTTTGCCGCATCCCGATGGCGTTTTCTGCATGAAATCGTGATGGATTCCCACCAAAAAAAATCACACTTGAGCCCAGGGATGTGACATCACGGGCACTGATAGCTCAAAAATGCAGCAAAAAAGACCCTTTTGTACCCCAAATGTGTGTTTTTCCTTTAGTTTTGCTTTCAAGCAGTCCTTCCTCGTCCCGTGGGATCCTCATGAGATCGTGATGGGGAAAAGCAAAATGAGGGATGTTTGTCATCCCTGTTTTCTTCCCAGTCCCTATCCAATCCCAACCCCAATCCCTTCCTCAATCCCATCCCAATCTCGTCCCCTGCCCATCTCCATCCCATCCCATCCCATCTCCGCCTCTCCCTCCCACCCCAGGGGTGAAGCATGTTTCCATCTATAGCAAAGTCACATATGATTATTGCATTATTTAATTTTTTTTCCCCAAATTTGGTCTCTCTGGAGGATAGGGCACTTTCTGGCCCCCCCCTGCCCCCGGGGTCGTGAGAAATGCCGCTGTGGATTTTCCCAAGGGACGCTGCACAGCCCGGCATCTCCTATCTGCCCGTTTATAAATAGTCAAAGTTTAGGGAAGAAAAGGGAAAAAAAATTCCCCAAAAATAATTTTTAAAAAAGGGAAGGCTGCCTTGCAGTGCTGAGATGCTCCTTGACCTTTTTCCAAGCTTTTTCAAGGGTCCCTTTTCCGGACAGATTCCCGCTGTGTATTTTAAATCCCAAGCTTGGTCTTTTGGGATTTAATTTGGGTCTGGGTTTCACATGACTCCAGCGCCTTAATCCTATCAACTGGGGTCATCAAACCCCAACCGCCTCCGGGATTTAATTCCCCTGCAGTTCATGGTTTAGAGATTTGGGGAGGGGGCTGCAGGGGGAATTTGCTTTTTTGGGGGTTCAGGGTGTGCCAGAGCCAGGAAACAGCTTTTATTTGGGGGTGAAAGGATAAAATTTTAGATGAGGGTAGGGTGATTGATATCAGCAGGGATTAATGTTAAGATTGCAGGGATTTAAAGGTGATTTTTTTTTCCATAGGGAATGAATTCAAAGGGAAATTGAAAGCTGTTTTTAAATGTTTTGTCACGGGAAAATTTAAAGTATTTTCAAATGCTAAATTGTAAGATATTTATTTAATAGGGGAAAAAAAATTATGGCTATTTTAAAGGTAAGTTTAAATCTATTTTGCTTTTCCATATGCAAAAAATCCCAGCAGATGGGCTGGGGCGGGGGGGAAAACACCCGGGCAGGTGTTTAGCTCAGGGCAGCTGGATCAAAACCCAGGTTTTGAGCCCAAAGAGCAGCAGGAGGGGCTGAGGGCCCCAGGCCCCCCTGGATGAGTATGAGCACCACGAGCAGCTTAATTTTTTCGATCTGGTTAAAGCATTAGAGGATTTGCAGCGTCGAGGTGGCCAAAGGCAGAGCTGTGCCAGGGGGTTCGTCCCGTGCCCGCAGCTCCAAACCCAGCCCCACCAGCCTTTCTGAGGGTCACACCTGTCTGAGATGGCGAATTTGGGTGAATTCTGCAAGAAAAGGGATTTGGGGAGCGAGCACCCTTCAGATCAGGACCCATCTCCCTCTCCCCCATACACTGGAGGGGAGATGACGGAGCTGGGATCTCCTGTTGCCACAGGAGTTTTAAGGATGGCAGAGCAAAGGTGCAGCCCCAGAGCACAATTAACATAATTAACGTGCTCCTCATTAGCTTTCAGGGTTAACACCGCCGGGTTTGCAGCAGGGAGCAGCTCTGAGGCACACGGGGCTGTTTTGATGCCTTGGGGTGCAATGGGAATCCTCTGGCTGGTGCCAGAACATTTTTCCCTCTCTGGAGCCTGGATTTCCTCAGGAATCCCCAGCACCTTTTTTGTGCCCAAAAAG